CTGCTTGTGCATATAGCCGTGAGAAGAAGGCGCGCATCCCGCCCGCCGCCCGCCGCCTACCGGATGCTTGTCACGATTTTCCTGGGCGAGATCATCGCGCAACAGCCACCCCACCCCCGCGTCCACCGCGACCTAGGCTGGTGGCCCCCGCCGCAACGATATGATATTATTATATAAATAACCTTTCACCGTGATACACACAAACACACACACACATACACACATTCGCGCACGCGCACACGCACACGCACGGACTATCTCGCGGGGTATACGCGAAAACCGTAATAAACGCGCACGCAGGGTAGATATAGGTAATATACACAGACAGCAGTCGTGTGTGTGTTATTGTTATTTCCCCTTTACTTGAGAAAGTAACAATTTAAAAAATATATATGTCATCGAGAATCTGAAAATCTAATGAAAAATATTATATATTTAAATGCACAGTGTACTATGTAGGTTAAGTACAATATATTTTAATACATTTAGGTGTTATTGAATATTTACTATGTATAGTATGTAGAATAACACGTGGTATAATCGGATATTATTTCTTAGAAATTAATTGTACCTAATTATAAAATTCAGATTTAAAGTGCGATAAGATAGAATGTATATATAGTCATAAATCACATTCGTCACTTAATCTATTGTGTAATTAGCATATTAATGATTATTAAAGTTTATAGGCAACCGCATGTTTTTACTATAATAGTACACCAGAGCACAAACTATAATGTAAAATAGTATTGAAAATAAAACAAAATAAATATATTTTTTAATACCTAGAATCTAGATGTACCTATAATCTTATATTATATATATATATAAATAATAATTGAAGAAACCAATACAATTAACCTGCAGAATACCCGTTTTTAACATAACTAATGTAGCATTTTAAAATCTGAACAAAAAATATTTAGTAAGAAACTCAATATCTTATTTCATACTTATTACACTTATATTGTACCTATTTAAAACATTTGACCAAATAAAAGCTATTACATTTTTGGTTAAAAATAAAAAATGTATTTTTGCAATAAAATCATTTTAAGGTATTCTTATAATTGTTAGTTACCTATAGGTATGATATTGTGATATTTAGTTACAGTGACGCCCAGACAGGTAACCAAATACTACAACCGTATGTGCCCCCGAAGGATGGTGGGTGAAAATTAGTGGTGCCACTAGAAAGCTTATATAAACTATAATAATTAATTTTTGTGGACTTAAGTGATTTACTAATTTATTTAAATATTTAATCACTAGGGCACTAAGTATAAGTAATTTTGAAATATTTAATTAAAAATGTATTTTCGAATAAAAGTTTCGTGAGCATAATTGTAGAGCGCAGTGATAATTTTTTGTTTAAATAATACAATAGGGAGAGTGGATGTAAATATTTCTGTTGACTACATGTGCCCTCAAAATTCTTCTTTGCTCCACTTAAAAGCTGAATTCGTTTTTAGCATTATTATAATATCTCAGTATGGTAGACTGAAATTTATACATTATTGGCTGACCGAGTATATTAAGCATTTTATGAAAAATATAAGGTAGCTCTTCCAATAGTCATTTTTAAATGCATGTTTACATACTTCAACTTTATGTTGTATTATCTTGTTTTCAGGCTAGATTAAAATGTTCTTTTCATAGATTTTGCACGTATACATTTCTTGTAATATTATTATGTTTTAAATTACAATATCATATTATATTAACGAAAATGAGTGAATTCGTTAATTATTATCATATTTTACTATTACTTTTATTCTTTCAAGAACTATCAAAACTGCTTGTTTAGTTCCAATTACGAAGCAAAATTATTCGTGTTAAATGGTCGGTGAAATTGGTGTATCACAAATTAATTAAGGTGCTACTTAAACACATTAACATATTACCCAATTATATTTATATTTTAAAAACATTTCGTAAGTTTTCTTTTTACTATTTATTTTGAAAGAAATAATTATTTGTATAGAAGTATTACAATGTTTGCATACCTGCATGATTAGTGTATCTCAAGGATAAAATAGCAAAATGTTTAAATGCGTCACCAATGATAAACATATCTTAAAATAACAATAAATAAATAAAAATAAAATACATGTATACAAGAACAAGACAACTTCACTGCGTAACGTAAATTCTGCATAATATTATACAGGTATTCTCAATAAAAGTTGCAAGACATTTATAGTTTATATTTTATTGTTCACAAAAGTACAAAATAAAACAATATGAAAGACATACTTAATTTATCTATTAATTATAACATCATATAATGTTTAAACATGTAATAGCATTTTTATAGTAGTTATAATTGTTACAAAATTTACCACTGTATAGGTACGTCAAAACAATTAATTATGAATAATGTATGTAAATATAATAACCATAATTGATAACCAATATTTAGCTGATAAACAGTGACTAACCTGTAGTTGATAAATTAAAAAATATCGAATACTCGGAGTACCTACTACATTATATAATTAAAAATATGATATAGACAACCAATAGTATGTATACTAAACACCGGAACACTGTTAAAGGGTATGTACAGTATATTTTTTAGTTGAAATATAATATGGAGTCAAATAGTCAATATTCAATAGAAATCAGATATAATGCTTGTAAGGTAAAATAGGTGTCCCTCTAAGTAGATGAAGTGAAACGACGTTCTTTTAGTTTGCTTAGTATAGATTATGCATATTATTTATATATTTCTATTTTAAGAAATTTAGATAAATTATTAACAATCGTTGATTAGATATGTTGAAGAATGGAGGATTTAATATGTTGTTGTTTTAAGTAGATATGATTTAAATTAAATATTTAGAAAACACCACTCACATAACGTGTTCTCTTCGTATTAAATAGTTACAGTAATGTTATTTGAGATTAGTAGAACCAATTTTTTTTTTATTGATCCTTATTTCAGTAACTATGGCCATTGGTTAGAACCAATTTTATGTTATTAGCTTTAATATTAATATGAATAAACCTACTTATTATCAAACTTAATGGTTAAAACGTTATCCTTGTTTGTGCTTCGATTTTTTACGATGTTAAAACTTTAAAGCGAGTTATAGAATATGTAAAATTTAAAAATACACATGGCTCACTTGAAAATTCAAAAATCGTAAAAGATTGACCTACCAACACAGATAATGTTCTTATCATTCATTCTGGCACTTTTATTTTAAAGTTAACAACATACAATTGATTCTGATGAGTACAAACTTGATATATTTTACGTTTCTAAGATGGAGACAACCCATGCGGATATCCATCATCTAAATAAAAAATATTGTTACAATTTTGAATCAACAAATTATGCTGTCATAAAATTCTTTGTCGTATTATATTTCTACTATTAGTATTAATATTATTATCACATGTTAAATATTTTTATTGCATTGTATTAAAGATAAAAAAATGTATAATCTATAGGTTAGGTTTTCCATATAATTTTTAATCTATTACAAATAATACTTTGTGTATTCAAATATTAATTAATAGTATTTGAATATTTTAAACTGGGCTTTAAACATTACATTTTTATCAATTTTATTAGTGATTAGTCAATAAACTTACATTATTAAAAAGTCTTTTTAGATAACTGTTTATATATATATATGACCGTGCAATGTTACATACGATAAGTGGCCCACTGCCTACTGTCTCACTACCTTAAGCTGTTAGTTATTACCAACTATGAATGTTTTAGGTATCCACCACAAATATTGTATGGTTTAATGTTTTTATTCCTTTTCTTGAGTAAACTTATTGTTTTTTTATTTTGGTATGGTTATGTTAGAAGGTTACCAGTAACTTAATAACGTCATTCCTACATCTGATAATGTTTCTGAATTGGATACTTAGAAAGTCAGATATAATTTTAACCGTGTAGTTTCGAAATATTTTGGCAAAATGTAATGACTTTAAGTATTTAGTAAAACTTTTCACTAACTAAAATAACGTGTGTATTATATATTAATGAAATTAATGAAGAATAAATGCACAACGGTTTATTTAACGCATAACCCTTGTAGATATTGTACATACTTACTGCATTTCAATATTTTGGTATTCGTCAGTTTTACAAATATTAAAAACAGTGTGTTATATATAGTATATTTACATACGTCATTTTGATTTAATTGTTCATCTTAAATTAATTCAATAAGACAAATTTATTAGTAAACAACATTTTATTCAATGATTTGTGTTTTAATAAATCGTGGTATTTTACAATATTATTTAATATTTCATGTTTATCTTTAAAAATACCTAACTTATCGTTTTCTAATATTATAACATCATATCTATGCAAGATTGTTGTGATGATATAAAAGCAGTTCGGGTCTTAGGAGGTATGCAAGATATTGTAATATTATATTATACATTTATTGTATGTATATACTTTGTACAATTCCTATGATTTCATCTTTTCTAGATAATTAGCAATAATATGTAGGTAGACACATAAAGTAAAAGTTGTAAAAATCATAAATCATGGTAATAGTTAGCTCACTCTATGTTAATTAATTATTATATACCAAACACCTGTGATTAAACTCTAACTGGTCTTAATATTTATTTATATATTTAGGTAACATCATTGCTTAAGATATACAACAACTTTTGATTTCCAAAAATTCTACTAATTAAAACATATTTTGTCAACGGTATATAAAACCATTAAAAACCTGCATAAAAAAAAAAATGAATCAATAATAATTATGTTTTTGGTCAAACATCAAATTTAAACAATTGGTGTGTAATTTATTTTAACATTGAATAAACGTATATATTTCCGTAGATAAATATTTTTCAGGTTTCTTATTCTTAATAAAACCAATACTTACTTATATATATTATTAAACTACACAATTTTTTTTTACCATACATGATAATATTAAGAATGTGGTTTTATGACGATTTATGTATATCTTGCGAATTTTCTTTTCCTTTTCCATGTGAAATCACTGTAGGGAGAATCATTGCGAAATTGAGAGGCGGCGGCGGAACAAGATGACAGCGTACATCACGGAACTCTCGGACATGGTGCCGGCATGTCAGTCCCTAGCTCGGAAACCGGACAAACTCACCATACTCCGAATGGCTGTTAACCATATGAAAAGTCTCAGGGGTATGTATATTTAAAATATAAATGTGAATCAAACAAATGTTTTTAAACATTCATAAAAACTAACTAGTCAAAAAATACCATTTATAAATATTTTAGTTAATAAATATCTTAATTCCATTGGGTAAACAAATGAAAGTTTCGTACAAGGTTGATATATTATGTAAATTGAAAATTATACTTAGTATATGTCTTATATAGTTAGATATTTACTATTTTCTAATGATAGTAAATCATCTATACTCTATGGTCTTAGCACCGGTTCTCAACCTTACCTAGCAATATTATAGTTGAAAATAAAGAGAAAAAACAGCTTTGAAAGTCAAAAGTGAAAAATGAATCTAAAAAATTAACAATTAGTTCACTCGTGAGATAATTGTGGCTTGGAAAGTTTGGCAATGTCTGATTCAATTTGTAACAACTGGTTACGGAGGTCAGATTCTATATATAACCCGGTTTCGGTGTTTTCCTTTAGTAGCCGTATAAGCCGAAAATTCTGCCTTGCATAAATAATTGGTAAGGGTGGAACAATTGTTTGTCTACAACAAATTGTAAATAATTTTTTTTCATTCTCGTATGTGCCACTGAAATGAGCTCGTGGTGCTCAGGTTGGAAAGCGTTAGTCCATTGTGTATTCCAGTGGTGCTACTAATATTTTGGAAATATATATCAATTTTAAAAATTACTTCCAGGCCGCGTACATTATTTTACTCAGGATATTAATTGACAATAACAATATCCATTTAAAAAATATTATATTTAATCTTACAAATTACAATTTTTATTGTTGTATTTATTTATTATTTGATGTTATATTAACGTTTATGGGTGGAACCTCCCTGTTTCTAAGTAAAGAATTTAATTTAATAGAACTACAAAAAATACTATTTTTATTATTTTTAATTTGATATGTACAATTCAATTTTATCGTTGGTCGCACAAAATTTGTAAATTGGCATAGTGGGCACCGCTGGTATATACCATTAAATTATTACTTTTCTTTAGCTATCATGTTGATAATTGTATTAATATAGTGTATAAAAATATTATAAAACCTACATTTTAACCCCTTAATTCAAATAAAATAGACCAAAATGTATTAATCAACACAACTATACTACGTTAATACTATGTTATCTTAATAATGATGAAAAAATAGATTTAGTACCTTCTTCATCATAATAACCTTTTAATTTTCGTAAACTTTTGAATGGAATAAATTATTATTAATTTTATTTTAACAAATTGATTGTATTAGTCTTTTCTTGATGCAACTTCCCTTTATTCCTGTAATAATGCATTTTTATTTTTTCAAAATTCTATAATCATGTAGGTATAATATATCATTGTTATTTATATTTTAATTTTCGTTTATTTAATTCCCAGAGTAGTTTAATCCTCAACACTTCAATAGGAAGTATCAAATAACACTCACATATACACGTCGTGTATCTACTACCATCCTATAGATAATAACCTTGCTGAAAGGGCGCGTGAGAACTCGCAAATTCATCTCGGACAGCAAAAATGCTTTGTCGCAGGATGCGTGTTTCCTTTTTCCCTTTTCATTTATTTCCTTCCGCATAGGACAATGTGTGTCTGTGTGCTCTATCGTAGTCCATCTAATACCCCGAATTGCGAACGAGACCGCCATGAATTCAATTACAACATCTTCTTTTTCCTGTTCTCTGTGCGTGATTTTTTTTATTTTTCTATGGCGTTTATTTATTATTCATACGCTGTATTAACTATATGTTAATATTATACACAGTGTAAGTATTAGGAAATTATTTTCGCCGTATAGTGAAAACATTTTTTTTTACTCTATAGGTATCCGATAAGTTATACAACTATAATAATAGTTTATGCGTATATGCTCTGTTTGCAGTTTTTATTTTTCATCAGCGTTAATCGTCACGGTGCAATAGCATACAAATAATAAAATAAAATGTTGAATTTGCTAACTTAAGGCTACTTACTAAGTACCTACCTACCTAGTGTATTATTTGGTCTCCGGCAACTCTACTGGTATTGTTACAAGTGCCTATATAGTTTACGACTTTGAAAGATGTCAAACGGAGTACATATTATATGTTTTTACCAATACATATTGTACATTATACACACTGTATTGTTGGTTTAGAAAATACTTGTAAAAAACTACAGCAAAACTTGCTGATTGATTTAATCCTTCATCGCAAAGTGCTATTATTATTTATTTGTATATAAAAACTTCTTACATAAACATTGCCCGTGTTAGATGACTTAAATTTATATTTTATTTCCTCCACCTATAATGTTAAGAAATAAAGGAGTGGGGAAATAACCATCATATAAGTAGTTACAATAAAACAGTTTTATGGCCGTGTTTATAGCTTTTTAGTGGTCAATGATTATTTTTCACTCAATACCCTAGGTAGGTACATAGATATTTTCTTTTATCTTTATACCATCGTTTTTGTCATAATAACGGTTACCTCTTATACAGAGTACAAAACCGATTGTATTCAAATGGACGGTATGCGGATGACGAGAATGAGTATTGTCGCATTATAGGTGGCATATACGTTTGTTTGGAACCCGGTCAAGTCAAAGCCAGTTATATATTATTATTATTATTACTATTATGCTAGAAATAATGTATAATAATAATAATAATATTTAATATTCACCATGTTAAGCGTTATGTCTGCCTGCTAGCGGCATGGCTCTATTGTTTATTGTCACGTCCATTGTCAATTTCCTGTTTCACCCTTCGGTTTTTGACGTACTTTTATTTTATTTTACGGGCGAGATGTGAATGACAATGTTTTTTTTCTATTGCGCATTGCCAATTTTATGTCTGATTTGAAAAATAAAACTTATCATTTATAATTTATTAAACTAAAAACATGAATGTTGCATAAATTAACCAATATAAGATTAAGATATTTACATTAGGTTTTCAGCTGTAAATCATTTAATTATGACGTGTGTAATGGCTACTATAATTATGTGTAGCACAATATTGTAACATTCTAAGTAATTCTATATTGAACACTACAATATTAAAGTATCACACTTGCTACAATTTATTTATTATTAATTTATTATTTTACAATTGTTTTTAATTACAATATAATTGATTTTAAGTCAAATTTTGCTACTATTAATATCCTGTTTTTTGACTAGTGTAGTTTTTCTTTTAGGCATAATATTATATACTTATTGTTAACTCCTGAAACGTAAAAACGTATCTCATTAGGGCAAGAGCGTAAAGGTGGGTTTCCAATATATCCTATAAACTTGTCATATAAATTATAGGTACAGGTAACACAAACAATGATGGCACCTACAAACCTAGCTTTCTAACGGATCAAGAGCTTAAACATTTAATATTGGAAGCAGCTGATGGTTTTCTATTTGTTGTTACATGTGATACTGGTAGAGTTATATACGTTTCCGACTCTGTTGCACCAGTATTAAATTACTCACAAGTATGAATTTACCATTTAAACCTTAAAACAAGTTAAACAATTATTAATATTATTGTTATTATTTATATTATTTTTTTAGAATGACTGGTTAGGGACAAGTATGTTTGATCATTTACATCCCGAAGACGTAGAAAAAGTACGTGAACAACTATCTACACAAGAACCACAAAATTCAGGGCGTATATTAGATTTGAAAACTGGTACAGTGAAAAAAGAGGGTCATCAATGTAAGTCAAATTTAATTAATCTAAGCCGTTATTAATATTTTATTTCTATAATCACAATTGCAACTTAACTTATTGTAGCTTCAATGAGACTGTGCATGGGTTCTCGACGTGGGTTCATTTGTCGAATGAAGATCGGTAATAGTGGTGGTATGATGTCCAGTATATCGGGACATAATCTACACCAACGTCTTAAACAGCGTAATACATTAGGACCAACTCGAGATGGTAACGAATTTGCGGTCATCCACTGCACTGGCTACATAAAGAACTGGCCTCCATCTGGTCAGTTTGATCATCCATTATCTGGTATGATGTCGATCTGTCGTCTAATCACCTCGATGACACTTACCAATAATAGTCGAAAATCCCTCCATTTACAATTCTCATGATTAAATTGTTATATAAAATGTCATGTATATAGGTGTTCAAATTGAGAGAGCTGTTGAAGAAGATGGTACTCATTGTTGTTTAGTTGCTATTGGTCGGTTGCAAGTTACTTCCACTCCAAACACTACTGATTTAACCGGGTCTAATAGTAATGCTGGTAAAAACTAAAATTAATTTAAAGTATTAAAAGTATTTTTAAGGTCTACTAATTATTTATCTCAAAATGTTGTTTTAGAATTCATTTCTAGACATTCTATGGATGGTAAATTTACATTTGTTGATCAGCGTGTTACACATATACTTGGCTATAAGCCACAAGACCTTTTAAGCAAAACATGTTATGAGTTCTTTCATCCTGAAGACCAAACTCATATGAAAGAAAGTTTTGAACAAGGTACATTTCTATTCAACAACCTTGACGAATATAATTGTTTTTTAATTGTTGTTTGAAAATTTTTCAGTTCTTAAAATGAAAGGCCAGATGATGTCTGTGATGTATCGGTTTCGAGGTAAAAATCATGACTGGATTTGGCTAAGAACAAATGCATTTGCATTTTTAAATCCTTACACTGATGATATTGAGTATATTGTATGCAACAATTCAACAGCTAAGTAAGTTCTCGCTTTTTTAAAATGATTTATCATTGACTCTATTTTGTATATTTATTTTATATTAGATCCTCGATGCACTCCCCATCTGAAAGTGGAGTAAATATCAGTAACCCACCAACTGAACCTGTTTATCAACAACAGGCACCTGGATTAGATTATACAGTTCAAAGAAGGGATCATGTAGCAGCACCACCATATCAAGCTCATGCAATGATTACTGCTGCTCCGACCGCCAGTCAACATATGATACGTAAGTATTTTAATTTGGATTTCTCTAATACCACTTTTACATTTTCATTTTTTTAATAGCCAACAACACAGCGCAAAGACCAAACAGTGCTCAAAATGTATTTAATACATATGAAACGAATGCATCACCCATTAGCTATCATTCGCCCAATCAAAGTACTCAAAGTCAAGTTCAATCCCCATTAATTAATCGCCTTACTAAGTCAAGTCCAACACCTGCACAAACAGCATGGACATTGCGCCAGGTAAAAATATGAGAACATATATAAAAAAATATAATAATAATATTTTCATTTTAATACCTATATTTATAACCTTTTATTATAAATTATAATTTAGCCGGTCACTGAAGGTTACCAATATAATCAAGAAATGAGTCCATCTCGTTCACCATCAGGTCCAACATACACTCAATTGAGTGGTGGTGCAAGACAAACATCTTACCACAATCCATCACCAGCAACTGCGTCTCCAGGTAAAATTTAAAATATATAAAGGTTAAATTGCTTTAAATTATTATTTCATTATTATTTTGTTTAAAATTAGAAATACTATTAACTAACTATTTTTTTCTAATAAATAGACTTAAAACATTAAATTATGGTTTACAATACTTTTAATTTAAATAGAATAATAAAAACATTTAATTTATTTTATAAAGGAATGTGGGGTTGGCAAGCTGGAGCAACTGGGGCCACAGCTGTGGCCAACAATGTACCACCACATCCGCATAGTGGCCATCCACAAGAACTGTCTGATATGATGATGCAGATGCTTGATCAGAGTGCAGCAGCTGCTTCATTTGAAGACCTTAACATGTTCAACACAAATTTTGAATGAGCTAATAATTTTTATATTATATACCTATGTTGAACAAATGTATTAAGAACTAAATGAATGCAGTTGTCACAAATTACCTGAGTGTATGCTATAAACTAAATTTGTTTAATATCTGCCTGTAAGGTATTATTAACACCATCTGTGGTAGTATTATAATATGGCTTTGATGTGTATTAGAAATACTATCATAATTTACATGACATACTGGATATCTGTTGTATGTTTAATATTATGGATTCTTTGATTTCTGTAGTCTGTACAAATATAAGAATCTCATATCAAGTTTATTAATAACTTAGTAAGCCTTACTAAGTTTATTTAGATTATTATAAACAGAAAACGTTTTTCAAAAAATCATTTATTGATATTATTTTAAACACTGGTTGTTTTTTTACAATTTAAACCACGCTGCTTTTTACACTACACCCAATTATAATTTTATGTAGTTTATTCTCTTTTATCACTGATAATTACTACAGTTACAACCTCCATGCTACCTCTGTCGTACTCATCTCAACAAAGTATGTACCTAGGTTAGCTCAGTGCCATAAAAAAATAAATAAGAGGATTTTAAATTTATTGGAAACTTTTCTTTGTTTGCCCTTAAATCTCTATGAACAGAAGTTCAAAAATATAATATATTTATTTATTTAGACACATATCATTTTTAAAATATATATCAAATCCTTCCGTAATTGTAAATTTATTTTTGATTGTATTTTGTTTATTTTTTTTTTCAAAACTGGATAACTAAATTAACTTTCTTTTGGGATGTTCTCAATTCAATTTGTAGTTGACTGCTTTACACATATATATGAATACCATAATAAGAATAACTTTGAGCCAAATACCAGGGGTCAACTACAAATGGCAGTCCATTGAAAGTTTATTTTCTTTCGTCCATACCATATGTATACAAAATTGTATATAATATTGTAAGTTTATAATAGTATTATTTACTTTATACTGATGTAAGTGTGTGACATTTTTATAATTTAAATACGAATATTTCTAAATAATTTGTTATTTTATTGTCTAAAAAAAAAAAATAATATTTTATACAAATTTAAATGTGTATATAAATATTTACATATTATATGAAATTCTATACGAAAAATATACGTATAAAGAGTTAATGGTGATACCATTATATTCATTTAATTAACCACCATTTTCACTTATACCACTGCTACGAATTTTTCCCTTTTTCTCTTTTGCGCAGTTAATTTAAAAGAATATACATTGTAAATACAACACTTTATTTTAAGTTATAAACATAATTTTTATTATTGTACATTATATTATAACAGTTTAATAGAAGTATTGTATAAGTAAATGAAATATATTTAGAGGTTTTTTTTTTAATAATTAAATTGTGTGATTTTTATTTTATTTTCCTTACACAGATGTTTTGTTTTTAAAATCAATTATCTAAAATACATTGCCCACACAAGTTATTTGAATTGGACATTGTTTTTGGCCATTAAAGACTCAAAATATTTATATTATATTTTCCTCTTTCTTCTAGTTACTGCTACATACACATATTCCCATCATCTATGTTCTCTATCGTTTCTGTTCATTGTCTATTTGCTTCTACCAGCTTTATATCTTTGTTCACGTAGTACTTCTACCTTGAGTGTGGTCTTATCAGAGGTATTCTCCCAATAGGGTCTTCCTCAATCTGAATCCTTCTTTATTATTGACGAAATTCCTGCCATACCAATCTTCTTATTTGCTATATCTGACAGTTAAAAAAGGTTTTGAAGGTCATCATTACGTTGTTTCCAGTGTTTTCATCAAATTAAACTATCAAAGTTTCTTTTTTTCAAACACTCATCTATAGTTCTTTGATTTTTCTTACTAGGCCAGCAGACCACATTTCAGCTCCAAACAGGGCGATGGCTCATATTAAGGTTGAGTGGTATATTTTAATTTTACATTTTAGAACAGGATGTTTTCTACGCTCTATAAAAATATAAATGCAATATCCCGATAGCAATTTCATCGATATTTCTGTCTTCATGTCATTAACTAAGTTATCATTGATAATCGACCTGTGTAGTAGTGTCCTTTCATATCAATGTTATTTACTCCTTGTTCCTGATTCTGATTTGTCTGACCATAGGCCTTGCCCCCCTAAACTCATAAAGCCAATCAAAGTATATCCTAAGTTGATCTCAGAAGTATAATAAAAAATGTTAATACGTTAATTAATATTTCTAGGATAGTAGGATCCCAGATTTCTTACCAAATGTACACATATGCATCTGATTAACTATATAATATTATACAGTGGGCAGTGTGTTGCCTTAATTGATATTAAGACCTATAGTTCCTTGGTCAAATTTTGACAAAATTAAATTGTATGAAGTTAAAAACCAAGTAGATATGATAGTCTGAGACGGCAATCTTATTTGACCCATAATTACATAATTGTATAAAGCAGAAAATTGAAAAACAATAAAATAGCCATTATTAACTTATAATATAGAAAATGGTAGTAAAATCTAAGTAATAGAAAGTGAAATGTTTTAAGTTTTACAGTCAGTATTCTATGAATAAAAACAAAACAATTGTTATTATACGTTTGGTTATCCAGTGCCATCAAAATTAACCCTGAAACGTCCATATAACAACTAATGTGGTTTAATGCTGAACATTTTTTTTATTCCCGTAAGGAAAACTCATAAGAAATCATGCATATTTTTTAATTTATATGAGAATAACTCATGTGGGGATATTGTATTAAATTTTCAAACCTTTTATTTAGTAACAAGAAAAAAGAAATGAGTTAAGTTAAATGGTATTTTGAGAATATACGGCTGAAGTAAATAATAACTGAAATAAACAATGGAATACTGGAAACTTCATAAATTAAAATTCTGTTAGTTTTGTTTTGAATAGGTAAGTATGTTCAATGTTTATAAAAAAGAACAGGCTGAAGACAATACTTTACAAAGTACAACTGCCAATAAAACGAAAGTACTAAGTAAAAGTAGAACCAAAATATAAATAAAATTATACAACTATCCTTCTATTAAAAAAATAAATAAACTAATGTACATAACCTTTTACTTTATTAAATTATAACTTATAAGTATAAATAATATAGGTGTATATAAAAAAAAAATAGATCATTAATTTTATTCAAATTAGATTTTATTCATATTCCCTGGACATAATAATTAAAAAAATGTTATTGTTTATCTTTTTGTTTGTTTTTTTCTTTCTCCAAAGCTTCTTTTTCAGCTTCTATAACGTTTACCATTTCTTCAAGAGATGCTGGGTCTAACATCTTCATTTTTTCATTATTTTTTAACACCACCAATTCAATGTTTTTTTGACCAGATTGCACTACTTCCAGTAATGCTCTGACTGCCAATTTGATAGTTCCCTGTTCAGTACTTACAGCTTCATCATTATAGTTATCCTGTAACAAGAAAAATATGTAAATACAATTTTAAAACAAATAATAGTATCACAGTTAAATTTCAAAGTCCCTCAGAAATAAGGATTATAACCAGGCTTAAAGTACAAACATAAATCAGTAGTAGAATTCTCATAATTGTTACAACTGTTGTACCTAATGTACGTATAAACTATATTTTTATAGATGTAAGAAAAGGCTCAGCCCGTAAAATAGGTAAATAATGAATTAGCCCTACACAACTGATGGTTTGTATTACCTGTAAGAATTCTTTGACCAATTTTGAATTTCTTCCAGTGGCATTTGCCTTCCACTCGTAGTAGATACCAGACGGTTCTGTCTGGAACAGATGAGGTGTGCCGTTGTTGTTGAAACCAGCGATCAGACATGATATGCCAAACGGACGGCGACCGTTGCTCTGTGTGTATTTCTGCTTGATGGATGCCACGAAGCGTGTGATATATTCAGTCGTTACAGTTTCGCCGAGAGTAAGGTACTGTGACTGACATTCCATCTGTGCTCGGTTGATGATTACACGCGCGTCGGCCGTCAGTCCAGCAAATGCCATTACTATGTGCGAATCCAGTGGGCAAATCTTGCGCACAGTACGTTCTTCCTGAAGCATGGCTATGGACTTCTTCTCAACACCAAGTACAACGCAGTCTTTGCCCAGGACACCGATGGCTGTGCATCCTTTACGTACCGCTTCTTGCGCGTACTCGACTTGCAAAAGATGGCCGTCCGGCGAGAATACAGTGATCGCTCTGTCGTAGCCTCCAGACATAGTTATGAGTAATTTTTTGATATTTTTAGAGAGTAAAAAAAAAATAAACGAACGAAGTTTAACTAAGATATTCAATTTTCAACAATCAACAATAAGCAATGACTAAGGAAATTTAAAATTATTCGGCCCTGCGTCTGCTATAGCGTATCAACTCGAAGTGGTATCACGAGCATTATCTATTATCAGTGCGGCCAACTATTGGAACCTCAGATTAAAACACTGAAACTGTATTGTCCTGCGATTATAGTTATTCTTATTATCATGGTGGATTATACCGTACTACCATAGGGCAATAGGAATAGGGCATAGAACAATTTATTATACTGAAAACCACGAAATGCAAATTGAGAAATAAATAAGTTAGTAATAATAATAACATTTAGTCATGGGACCATGATTATGAAAACCGGCACCGTTTCCAATTCTAAAATTGTCTCATACTCTTACAGGAAAATAGGAAATGCTTTCCTAGTAGAACAGTTTGATTTTGTGAATTTTTTTTATTTAAAAAAACCGAACATTATTTTGCAGGTCGGATTAAACCCCTAATTTCAAACTTATAAATGTAGAATCTAAAATATGCGTTTAAATAATACACAGCATTTGTTATTTTTTTGCGAATTTTCCTGGTTCTATTTAAAGTAGAATAAAAATTCAGGCTTTGATAAGACCTGAAAAAAGTTCTCATTTTTCATTTAAAAAAAATAATTATAATTTGACATATTAATAAGGCCTGAAAGTTTTTCATGTGGTCATTTTTGTTGATGTAATACACGTATCAACACCCCCCTCCTAAATAAGTATTTGTCGGTAGACTTGTGGAAAATGATTATTACTAAGGTAGCAAACTAGAATATAAAATATAATTTTCAAATTGTATAGAATAGTGCACAATTTGGAAAGCCCCTAACAACACCCTAGGAGAAATATAAATCTTAAAGCTTAATTTGTGTAAAAAAGAGTGAATGTTACCGACTTGCGTATTAGACTTTCTTAATTTTAATTACTGTAATTATTCATTATATATATTACATAAATATATATTTATAATTATAAAAGTTTGAAGATGGCAATTTTAAAAAAATGCTAAAACTAAATATATTGCTCACTCGACACTCACACTAATATTAATTTACGACTACACCACGATAATGATTTTATTATGTTGCGGAATAAATTTCAAGATTTATATTTTTCGGCGCTGAGGCCAGACAAGTATACAAAATATGTCATCTGCAGCAATATAAAATAAATTTAGCACAATAATTGTTTTTGAATTTGTCCTCAATTTTTCAATTACCTTATGAAGTTGTATAAGTAATTAGATTAAACAAACAAGGATTAATGATTAAGTAGTAATAAATTATGAACTATTAAATAAGTAACATTCTTTTATTTATTTTAATTTTTATAAATATACTAAAAAAATAAAATTTGTGTATAAGTAATGATAATGGTTTTATAACCAACAAAAGTGTAAAACCACCAGTATTATGTTCTCATGTAATCATAAAAAAAATACTTTATTGTGAATCATACACATTTAACTGATATTGTAATAAACAAATTATAATAATAACAAACAAAAATATTAAACCAAATCCCTATTATTTTATTTTTTCGATCATTTCGGGAACAGCCTTAAACAAATCAGCAACTAGCCCATAATCGGCTACTTGGAAAATTGGTGCATCGGGATCTTTGTTTATGGCAGCAATGGTTTTAGAGTCTTTCATACCAGCCAAATGTTGAATAGCACCAGAAATGCCAATAGCCAAATATAATTCCTGTAGAAAAATTTATTTTTTAACTTAGTTTCAACCTTTACCTCTTTTAAGAGTATTGTCACTAACCGGAGCAACAATTTTTCCTGTTTGCCCAATTTGCATGTCATTTGGAACAAAACCAGCATCCACAGCTGCTCGTGAAGCTCCAACACCTGCCCCCATTTTGTCAGCAAGATCATAGATCATTTTGAAATTTTCAGCAGACTTGACACCTCGTCCTTAAAAAACACAGAAAAAATAAAAATACATACTAAAATACTTAAATTATAATATATATATTAAGAATTATATTTTTATACCTCCAGACACAACAATTTTTGCAGAAGCCAAATCGGGTCGATCATTTTTAGTCAGTTCTTGACTAATCCATTCTGATCCTGATCCTTTTTCATAACTACCTGCAGGTACAGCATCTTCAATAGAACCAGAACCCCCATCAGCAGCAGCTTCAAAACTGGTACTTCGTACAGTGAGTACTTTGACAGCATCTAGTGACTTCAGAGTCAATATTGCATTTCCTTAAAAATCATTAAGTTCATTAAATAACTAGTTAAAGTAAATAATTAAGTACTAGAAACAGAAAATTGTATGAAAAAAAATTTGCACCTGCATAAATGGTTCGTACAAATGTATCAGGTGATTTGATGTCAATAACATCAGTAACTGGAGATACATCTAATAATGCGGCCACTCTAGGTAAAAGTGATTTGCTCTGAGCACTGGAGCCAGCTAATACATGGGTAGCATTAATTCTTTTTTGTGTAGCCAATACCAATGGAGCAAGAATTTCAGGCAGAAATCCTTTGAATTCTTCACCCTCCGCTTTAAGTACTTTGTTCACACCAGATACTTTGGTAACTTCTTCTACCACCTGTTAGAGTAAATAATAAATATTTTATAACTTAGTATCAAACATTGAATGTCATTGATTGATAAAATATTAATTGAGAAGTAGTAGATATATAAACAACAACAATAGCTTCTGATCCCAACAATATATTTTTATTACAACAATCTTATATTTTTGGAATATAATTCAGAACAGTTGTTAAGAATTGACAATTAATTAATATTTATTTATGATGTACCTAACAAAAGTACAATATTATGGATTTAACCTTGACATAGGGAAGTAATTACTAATTACTATAATTATTGTTACACCATTATACTGAAATATGATATTCTATATACTTTTATTAAGATCCAAAGGCAAATATATTTATTTATTTTTGTTTGAACAATGAAATTGGGAATATTAAAAATTATTTAAATGATAGAACATAATATTTATGCTTACCGATCCGATTTTGGTGCCAGCTACGAGCACAGATACTTCACCACCAAGTTTCTTTGCAGCTGTTAAAGCATTACGTGTTACGGCTGCAAGTTTCTCATTGTCATGTTCGGCAATTATTAATGTGCTTTGTAACCTATGTCCGTTGACCTTAAAATCGTCAGAAAAAAAAAAAATTAGTTTAAGTAGACAATGATTTTCGATTGATTACCTTGGAGCCAACATTCTTTGAGTATCTTAAGATGTTATTCAAAATCATTTTAAAATAATTTACGTTGCTGTAAAAGAAATTGAGTTTTCGACGTTTTAGGCGACACAAAAATGGCAAGACCAGGAAATGGAATACTTCTTTCCTACGACCTATCTATCAACTATCAAAATAGGTAACGTTACGGACTTGTTAACGAAGTGGACGGTCCGAATGGTACAAAATGCAAATGTACAATGTTCAGTGTTCACTCTTTAGTCTTCATTGGTCAGCATCGCGTATTTACGTATGTAAGAAATAATAATATCATATATCATTGTATTATCAATTACCGTTTATCTGATCAAAATATGGTATTTCGTTATCATGCCAGGGGGTCTCAAAATAGTCACACAACTACGCAAGGTGAATTACAATAATTAAAATCCACCCTGGTAACTTAAAATAAATATCAAATGTTAAATTATTGAAAATTGAAATAACTAGTATTAATTAGTAATTACCATGCCTATCATTGATTATAGACATTTAATACCTACTGTGTTTTGTTCTTACCCATAGTATTTAATTATTGAATAATATTATAGTTTTCATGATTGTACAAAGTAGAGGTTTAGACAATCAGACCATGTTCAGTAATCACAAAGTGTTCTTGTGGTCATATCACGGTTTAATATGTAATACCAAAGTTTAACATTTTCTTTAATCATGTTTGACAAGTTTTATATTTATTAAATAGATAGATGAGAAGAGATTTTTGTCTGATGATTTTGGTATAATAGTATTATTTAATATTTATAATATTATATTATATTGAAAATTGTATGATGTTCTCTAATACTAACTAAAGGATACAATTTACTAAAATCTGTGCAATTATCATAGTTATATTTATATTTATTACTAATTAATTATTAATATATTTATTTGTTTATTTAAATAAACTGAGCTTGAGGAACTCATAGTTAGTATTTGAATCACAAAAATGTAAGTTATTTCAATGCTAAAAATATACTTATATATTATATGATTAAAAAACAATGTTAGTTATAATAGTTTATTTTGTATTTATACTTTTCTGATTAATAGTAGGTATATTCAAAATGCCCAAGAAGTTTGTTGGCATGAATTCTAAGGCTTCGGAAGCCAAAGCTCGACGAGATGCTATTAAGCAAGAAGCAGATGCTCAAAAAAAAAAGGCGATTGAAGATGAATTTTGGAAAGATGATGACAAGAACTCTGTCAAAAAACAAAAAAGAAAGGCAAGTTGTATTATTTTACTTTTGTATACCTTTTAACTAAGTTAATTATTTATTTATGTATAAAATATTAGGAGGAAAAAGAGAAGAAAAAAATTGAGCATTTAGAAAAGAAACGAGAAGCTCAATTATTACTGGAAACTGAACTCAGTGAAATTAAAACAACTCAAATCAACCAAAAAATCACTAGACATCAACTTATGGTAGTAAATATTTAAAACCATCAATAATATATATTATGTACATTTGCTTTATAGTTCAAAAATTTTAGAAAGAACTTGATACTCCATCAAATCTTAAGTCACAACCAACATTGGTTGAAGAAGAAGAAAGTTCAATCGAAGAAAATTTGAATCGTTTGACTATGCATGATGAAGAAGCAAGAACAGTTGATGAGGCTCTTAATATGCTAAAGTAAATATATAGTTTATTTATAGAGAACATGCTTAGCTTAGTTTCCTTACAATACTGTATAAGCTGAAATAGTTTTCATTTTTAAACCTTCGGATTGATGGTTTAAAATTGGCATTTGTTTGTTATTGCTGGTTACCAACCCTTATATAATGTTTAGCCCCGCAACCACACGTCAGCAGTTTAAAATCTAAAATTTGATTTATGTATGACAACAATTGTTTTTCTATATCGAAAAGCTTCAAAATGTATTTAGGTGCATCATAAGTTTGGTTCTTACCACAGTGGAAAATATTAAAAAAAATGGTTACAAGTTGTAATTTTGACAAAATTGAACATTTAAACAAAAAATAACCAAAATTGTCAGCTTATTTGTAGTTAATGTTGATTTTCATACCCAAGAATTGACAATAGTAGACAAGATCCTTCATAATTTATTATTACTGGAATTAAAAAAAAAGTTTAACATACTTAAATCAACATTAATTTTTATGAGAGATTGAGGTTTTAATTTTGACAATATTGGAGACTCAAATGTATAATAACAACTTTTGTTATATTGTTAATATTCAAAATATATTTTCCTTAGAATTTTTAAACATTTCACTATTATTTAAATTATAATTTTCTGTACTCAATGAAATTTTTAAAGTACTTAGAATAATTTTAAGTTATACCACAATTGTTCATGAACATTGTTACGAATGATAATTTGGTATTTACTTATAGCTTATATGTTAACAACTATGGTCGATTAATGTAATATAATAAATATACCTGCTCAATGTTTTTGTCAACAATTAGTTCAATCTACATTACTAGTTATAGAAATGTAAATTACTAATTGTAATATAATTAAATATCAATTATAAATTACCCACAAAAATAGAAGCCCATACACTGTCCTCAATTAGAATCATTTTTTGTATGAAATGATTTATCATTGATTTTAAATTTAATATAACACTCATTACTTTGACCTACTCAATGCGAGGTGCAATGAACACCCAGTATACAGTTAGCAGCTCTGCAGTCGCTTGTCTTCCCAGGTTTTTCTGTGTTTAGTTATTAAGTGTTTATTATTAACTGTGCTATTATTAAATGTAATTATGTTAACAATATATTATTATTTACTTTTATTTAAAAAATGTCCAAGTACAACTGAAGCGAGTCAATTCATTTTACAGCCATGACCCTAATAAACAAGTGCTCTAAATTTAACTTTAACTGGCCTTAATTTCATTTGGACCATTTTTTGTAATGGATGCTTATTAGTTTTTTAAGGTTCATTTTAAATAATCTCAACTGTAGTATAATATTTATTGTTTTTATTTTTACACATTATAATATTGTTTCAGCCCTACTCAAAAGTTGTTGGATAAACATCCTGAAAAAAGGCTAAAAGCAGCATATACTGCTTTTGAAGCAGATAACTTACCAAGATTACGTCTTGAAAATCCATCTATGCGCCTGTCTCAAGTAAAACAACTAATGAACAAAGAATGGATGAAATCACCAGATAACCCTATTAATCAGAGATATTCTAATAAAAATTAAATTAAATTGTTTCTGATGATACCGATACGTATAAATATTTAACTATAAGTAGGTGTTCTTAATTCTTTGAAATAAAATGTGATCATTTACCTACTAAGAATATATTAATAATAAACAATGTACCATGTAACAAAAATGTATAAGTTTCAGTTTAGAATTAAGTTCAATACATTAAATTAAGTAAACACAGTCTATGGTATTGATTGTTACACTATGAATTTATTATGTATGATAAAAACATAAATGATTGGTGTCTGGCATTGTCAACATAAAAAAAAAGTTTGGGTTTATTCTATTGTGTGTTGATCAGTCTATGGCATGGATGTATGGCTCCGTCTTGACATTTTTGATTGGTGATGTTTTAAACATGGTTATAGCCAATAAAGGTAATGAAATAATATAGTATTTAAATAGCCACCCCCCTTTAGTTAGCTCCAGCTACACTACTGTCATAAGGAAAAATGGTGTAGCAGCGAGGGCCACCAAACACCAATCATATGATTTTCAATATTATATTACATTTTTTACTAAACCAATATAATTATAAAATTAAAAGTCCACGCACATCTATAGTATACACATACACACAGTTAGTACAAGAATATTACATAATAGTAGTATTACTATAAAAACAATGATGATAGTTAATTTTTTTATCAGTCACCGAGTCACCTGTCTATAGGCTATTACTGAGCAGAGGAACTAGTTAAATTATAATAATATTGCTGATAGACAACACTTCTAGTGTTAAAATGATCTGTCAAGTTATCAGAATATATGAAAACTGTACTGTTTATTAAACCAAAATATGGTCAAGTGCTTGAATTATGTTATACAATTAATGCTATTATATAAGTTTATAATAATATAATTATGCAGTTAAATGAAGAGCTCTGATGATTTATATGGGTTCTTTTAAAAAATAATAATTCCTAAAAAAAAAAAAACATGTACAAGCTATATTTATACAAAAACTTAGATACCTATTCATATTATATGAATATCTTTAGTTTAATCATTATTATATCAAATATAGTAAATAAAGTATTTAATACATTTCTATTTATTGTCATATTACCTATGTATTAAAATATTTATAAAATTGCAGATAGTCATAATAATTATCATACTGATTAGTTACCATTCATTACCATTGTCTTGTTTTGGTAGGTAAGTTAATTTTATTATAAAATTAATGATAATATTATGTAAGAAATACTTTCTAGGACGATCTGTACCCCTCATAGTTCAGAATAAAAAAATTAAAAATTAATATAATATTCAAATTTTTGAAATGTTGTGATGAGATGAAAGAGCATTATCTTATTTACCAAATTACTATCTTAAAATTTATCTTACATTGATCTTCCAAGTTGGCATTAGTCAACTAAAGATTAAATTTGTGGCTTAAAATTGTTTGGAAAAAAAGAATAGTCTCCTCCATAATACGATTAGTGTACTCAGAATAGGTACCCTATATTACCTTAAAGTGATGATTGGTGGTATTTTTTATTTTTAATCAAAATCGGGTTTCTTAATTATAACTAAACTCGTTTTAGTAGTGTAATGAGTAAAAATTACCATGGTTACGAAATTTAGTGAAATTCTAATATGAATTACTATACAACATTGGTTTAGGCTTTTAGCATCATTATGGTTTTTTGTTATGTCAAATTTGCAAAAAAAAATCGTACAACTCATAATTTTAGAGGAGAAATTTGTGAAAAAATTAATTGTTATACCTGTATTACGATTTTAAAGTTTGAGGAATTGATTAGGTAGGTACATCAAGTTAATAAGGGTTTAAAATATGTATTGTTTTTTTAAAAGTGTAAGTTGCTTATAGCCTATAGGAATTGAAAGTGGTGATTTATTGTGGTCACGTTTAGGTATTTTGATGTTTTCTCAGCAATTACTCAGTGTGAATGTGACAAGTATTGTAAGTTATAACAATTCTCCAATTAATAAATATTCCTACTCGTCGTTTGTGTTGCATTCGACAAACAAATTCAAAACACGTGAGCTGTGAATAGTTACGACTTTAAGAGTATGGATAGGTACTGGAGTACTTATGCGGCTATGCCTACTAGGCTATCTACCAATAATTATTATGTTAATTATATATAGTCAACACTAGTATTCACAACTTTTTTCGTCAAAACTAGAATTAACTTCAAGTTTAAATGTCTAAATGAAAGAAGCAATAGTAAGTGGTGTAACGGCCTGTTGTACATTTGTTTGTACACATTTTTATGAATGGTACTAACTTTAAATAATTTGCAAATTTTCGTGATTTTTAGTTATCTGGTCAAAATTTGAAATTCAGACGCACATAAAAAATATTGTGTTTTTCCTCTCATTTGTTTTTTGATAGAGCGAACATTTTTTATCGACAGACATTTTGAAGAAACTCATAATAATCAAAAATATCATAACTATACTTATAAATAGCTCAAAATGAGTCAAAATATTTTGAAAATGTTATGTTGTATAGTCAATGGTAATATATTAACATTCAGATTAAACGTATTGCCTTCCTTTTAAATTATGTGTTTAAGGTGTAACAGATCTTACGTTGCCTGAAAAAAACAACTTTTTAAATGTATAAATACAAAATACCACTATCGGTATGCCACTCAGCCACTAGATAGGTCGTGTAAACTTTAGATGTTTTTGATGTTTATTTTATTACTATTTTAATTTTCGGACTGAAAAATCAACGTAGGATCTTTTCTAAATTATGTTGGATATCGTGTTATAATTGTTAAAAATGTTATATATTTTTGCTTTGAACTCAATACTACCATGTTCAATACACATTTTTTTGCTTATGAGGTAGAAGTAGAAACTACCAAAAGTATATTTGTTTCATATGCTTTTTTGTTAAATTCCCTACCAAATAATAAACATATTTTATCAAGTGGAAAAATATATATACAGTTACAGGTGGTCTTTAACAAATTACTTTTATTGTGTAATTTTGTTGTAAATTAAATATGAAAAATTAATTAGTTCAAAAGTCTAATATTTATATATTGATGTAGGTAGGTATATTGTGTACCTACCTATTAAGTTTTTATTTATTAATTATTAACTTCACTGTTTGTATATCGTATATTACGTAATTATTTGATTTTATATTTTATATTGCATACTTTGATTCAGTCAATACAAACTGTAAATATTCTACTTTTTTTAAAATTAATATTTTATTCTTTGTAATTATGTTTAATATTTTTTTATTGCAAAAGTTTATTCATTATTTTTTACCATAATATGTATTTACCTACATTTATATTGTATATACTTATAAATATTGTATATTGTATTATATTAATTATTAATTTTATGCTGCTTTTTTATTTACTGTTATTAAGTTGTTTGGGTATGTTTTATTTATATACCTATTATATATTATGTATATATATATATATATATATATATTAGGTATATAAATATCCATGTAGGTAATGTTTATTCATTTGTAGTTATGAAATTAATTGATTTTTTTAATAAATGCATACTACATTATTATTAAACTAAACAATGTGTTGTTACTTATATTTTCGGTTACCACAACTTATAAAAATTATGGTACGTTAACCGAAACATCCTTAATACACACTAAAAAATAGCAATATATATTAATGTTTATATTATTTAAGGTTTACCAAAAAAAATGTTATCAATAGGTACATATATTTTGATATTGGCAACATGGAGCTTTGAAACCAACCAAATATTCTTATTTATTGCTGTGTCTGATTAAATAGTTGCTGTAAGTATCAACTATCATAATGGGATGACCAAATCAATTGTTGGACATACATTTATTTTGGTAATGATAGCATATCACTTGTTTACATAAATTAAAATTATTTTGTTATAAATACATTTAATCAGTAGCTGCAACTAATAATACATGTATTTACTACTACCTGCATTATTCTGTTGTTATAATAGAAACCATTTACATAAAATGAATTGTAACAATTAGGTGCTAAAAGATTGGTGGTCATAATAAATTATATACAACCAAACAGTTGGGTAGTACCAATCGTTCATAGATTATCAAAACAAATTTTTTTTTTCTATGACCTCTGAATCCGGGTCATAAGTTTTTACGCTGCTTCTATAGGAATTGTAAAATATAATATATCTTAGACAATTTAGAAATGCTTTGAAGACCGTGGCTTGTGTGATAGTAATAAATCAACCGTTCAAGGTCCAACTATACTACTCTTTAACCGAATAGGATTCAGTATAAATATCGACAGGAGGCGTGTTGCAGTATATCATCGCATATACTAAGTGCGTGTGTAGTGTGTACCATAGGCGGAAATTTGCCATAATTTTAAAGGGAGCCGATATTTAAAAATACTTTATTGCATATCAGAGAGTTGTAACTGACCACTCATAAAATGTTTGAGGTGACTGATTTCTCAGAACATTTTTTCTTAAACATGTTCACCCTGGGTTCTAGGTTCAAGGATATTGAAATATACTTAAGACACGGGTTATTTTGTTATAACGATTATAGTATGTTATACGATAAGTGAGAACGGTCAGCAACACGCACAGACGACGCTCGTTATTTGGGAGACCGAAGATCCCACAGTTGTGTCGTCTTCTCATTTCTCGTGTACTTTCGAATTTCGATCAGTGTATTTGAGATAAATCGGCCCTTGGTATGGTGTATATATTAATTAATATATAAACAGTTATTACGAGGGATTTCCTGGTTGTCTGGCCGTTCATTCTTCTTGTTCATGGTTTGACTGCCAATAAAAAACTTATTTTTTTGATTAAATATTCTTGGCTTGTCTAAACAATTTCCTACCCTGAAATATTGTTCCGACACCTGTGATTACTACATTTTGCGGCTAACAGTTAGTTTTATTAGGTATAAGCTTCTCAAAAAAAAACATGATTCTTGCGTGGACCTATTAGAATATTCTTGTTCGGAAAAAGTGAGTATAAAATAAACTTTAGTATTACTAGTTATATTTATAATCAATAGTAAATACCAATATTTATTAATTATAAAGGTACGAATTGTGTTTGTGTGTCAATAGATGCAATCAAATTCATCACATGGCCTCCCCCCGCTGAGCTGCATAATCATAA